CTGGATGTGGTCTCGATATGAGGCGCGATGCTCTTGGCCGACGTTCGGCGTCCTCTGCGGTTTGTGTTGCTCTGGATGTGGTCTCGATATGAGGCAGTCTTGGGCGAGGTTAGGCGTCCTCTGCAGTTAGTGTTCCGATGAGGGCCCGTTGATGTGGCGGTGTTCTTTGTCCCGATTCAGCCGGCGCTGGATGTGGTCTCGATATAGGGCCGGATGCTCTTGGGTGAGGTTCGGCGTCGTCTGCGGTTTGCTTAGCGTTCGGATGCGGGGCCGTTCGTGTGTTGGGGAGGTGGGAGGGCGGGGGGGGCGGGGGGTTCTTCGTCTACGTTCGGCGTGCATCTGGTCAGGTTTCGGGCCCGCATTCGTTGTTTGTTTAGGGTTCGGAATGCAGAGTTCGGCGTCCTCTGCGGTTACTGTTTTTATGCGGGCCCGTTGGTGTGGGGGTGTTTGTTGTCTAGATTCACCCGGCCCTGTGGGTTGTTCGGTTGGCCTGAATGTGCTGTGCTTTTTGGCCCAGGTGCATCTGCCGTGTTTTCTGCTGGGCCGCTTTTCTTTGTCACGGCGAGGTAGGGGCAATGCCCTTGGGCGAGGTTTGGCGTCCTCTGCGGTTAGTGTTCCGATGCGGGCCCGTTGATGTGGCGGTGTTCTTTGTCCTGATTCGGCCGGCCCTGGATGTGGTCTCGATATGAGGCGCGATGCTCTTGGGCGAGGTTCGGCGTCGTCTGCGGTTTGCTTATTGTTCCGATGTGGGGCCGTTCGTGTGTTGGGGAGGTGGGAGGGCGGGGGGGTTGGGGGTTCTTTGTCTACATTCGGCCTGCATCTGGCCAGGTTGCAGGCCCGCATTCGTCGTTTGTTTAGGGTTCGGAATGGCGAGTTTGGTGTCCTCTGCAATTTGTGTTTTGATGCGGGCCCGTTGGTGTGGGGGTGTTTGTTGTCTAGATTCAGCCGCTCCTGTGGGTCGTTCGGTTGGCCTGCATGTGCTGTGCTTTTGGGGCCGGGTGCATCTGACGTATTTTCTGCTGGCCTTCTTTCCTTTGTCACGGTGCCGTATCTGCTGTCGGTGGTGGTGGGATCCCTGGGAAAAAAACGTGTCGCAAAAGTTCACAGGTGGTCCTGCGGTTTTACCTGGTCGTCTTCCTGGGGAAGGAGCGTAGTCTCACGGCGTTGCAGGTGCATGCATTTCCCGATTGGCTGGGGCATGTGCGTTCTTGGGAGGGGGGNAAAGTTGCAAAGGTTGACGGGTGGTTAGCCGGTTTTACCTGGTCGCTTTCCTGCTGAAGGTGTGTCTTCGTTGCCATGGTCGACATCCGTGCCGGGGCTGGTGTCCTCTTTGTTGGGAAGATGCGCAGTCTAGCGGCGTTGCAGGTGCATGCATTTCCCGACTGGCTGGGGCATGTGCGTTCTTGGGAGGGGTGGGGGGGGGGTGTCTGGGTAGCTTTTTCGATTGATGTGGTCAGGATATGAGGCCGGATGCTCTTTTGGCCCCGGTGCATCTGATGCGTTTTCTGCTGCGCCCGCTTTCCTTTGTTCTGACGCGGTGTCTGCCCTCGCTCGAGCGTTTATACCTGGGGGGGAAAAAAAGTTGCAAAGGTTGACGGGTGGTTAGCCGGTTTTACCTGGTCGCTTTCCTGCTGAAGGTGTGTCTTCGTTGCCATGGTCGACATCCGTGCCGGTGCCGGGTTACTGTCCTCTTCGTTGGTTGGGCTCGTATCGAATACAGGATGATTGAAGTTTGCGGTGACTGTCGCGTAAGAAATGTGATGATGACCTAAAAAAAAAAAGCCCGGCCCGACGTTAAATCAGCCGTCCCGATCGTTGCTTTCGTTTTGGCTGGATTTAGTCTGGTTTTGGGCGTGGGTGCATCTGACGTTTTTTCTGGTGGGCCACTTTTTTTCGTCCTGGCATGCTGTCTGCTCCCGGTCGGGCGTCGGGAGCTTGGGGAAACAATTGCTTGCAGGGTTTCTTGGGATGCTTTACCTGCTCGCGTTCCTGCCGAAGGTGTGCACTTTCGTTGTTTAGTGCGGTGTGACGCAGTCGTTTTTTACTCCGTTTTCTTCTTTGCCGCTGAATTGTCACGGTGTCAGGCTTTGTGTTGTCCGGTGTTTTCTGAGGCCGGAGTCATGATGTTGATATTGGGAAGGGCTTGCATTGGCCCTGCTTATCCTGCCCGTCTTGCATTGAGGTCGTTGTGGGACTCGCTCCTCTGCCTACCAGTGTGCGTGCATTTGGACGCTGTGTGGGCCTGTTGCATTCGGGGCTGTTCCGTTGTGGTGTGTCTGTTCTTCTGGCCCACCGGCATGTTGCTGTCCTTTTTCTTGCTTGGGTTGTTTTGCCTGGGTCCAATTCCCGGCAGTTTCCGTGGCCCGTCTGCCTGCGGCGGAAACTGTCGTCTTCGGTCTGGTTGTCCCGACGGGAGATAAACTTGGTTGGGTTAAATGTATTTGGGTCTTTCCCTGGCCCGCCCGGAGGGAGCTGCTTTTTCGCTGTTTAGGTTGTTGTCTCTGGGGTGCGTTGCAGGTGGCCGAACTTTGCGGTGCTGTAAGAAAATCAGATGGTGGCTGAACAAATATCGCACGGAAAAAAGGAAAAAAAAAGAAAGAAAATAAAAAATTGGTCTTCTGACGTTTGTGGTGCGTGCAGTGACTGTAACAAAGGAATGATTACATACCGAATCAAATCGTGACTAAACAAATTTCCCGGGGAAAAAAATCGAAAAAAAGAAAGAAAAGAAAAATTTGGTCATTTGACGTTTGGGGTGGGTGCAGTGACACTTATTTTGTAGTTTTCGTCCTGATCTCGCCCAGTAGATCTGAGTTGTTAGCCTTTATTGTCCAGATGAATCTTTGTTTAAAGCCAGGAGTTCTAGGCTTTTGAGCCAATTGGTCTTCTATGGGATGCTGCACCCGGTTATAGGAAGATTGTGTTATGGGCCGTTTTTCTTTGGAAGCATTGTGTGAGGTTTCATATGCAGGTGAAAATAGGACTCGAGGGAGGATAATTCATCCCTTGCCAGGAGTTATCCTTTACGGTAAACTGACTGATGCTGCGAGCAGGTCTCTCCGGGTCGAATTGTCAGGACCCCGGGCCTCTGCTTATCTTTAAATCGATTTTGCATTGACGAAAAAAAAAAACAAATGAATTGGCAATTACAGTGAAAAAAGAAAAAAAACAAAAAAAAAACAAAAAAAAAACGAGAATTTGGTCTTCTGACGTTTGCGGTGGGTGCAGTGACTGTAACAAAAGAATGATTAAAGACGGAATCCTATGGTGGCTAGACAAATATTCCCGGGGGAAAATGAAAAAAAAAAAAAAAACAGAAAAAAAAAATTTCGTCGTCTGAGGATCTCATTGCCCACATTGGCCCTGTGCCAAATAATGTGCTCACCCTTTTGCGTTGCTGCGGTGAGATTCGTTCGGGTGTAGTGTGTATCCAGACCCGATCTTACGGCAGGGGTCTGTTTGACATCTTGCTTTGCACCATGTGGTTTGGGCTCCACTGCCACTTGGACTCACTAAACTGTCCTGGATATCCACCTGCGTTTTCGCCAAACTAGGAATGCAACTTCCGTCTCCTCAACCAGAGCTCCCGCACTTTCACCTCTCCCACTATTCCCAGTTGCGAAACCAGTGTGCCCGCCGTCAACAAACGAGCCATCGGTTCTACCTCGACTGACTCTACGGGTTGCTTTTTTT